CCCAGATTCGGCCACATGGGTTTAGTTGAGTATCACCCGATTCATCGTTATTTAAGCTTAAAGCTAGGCTTTAAGTGGCATTTTATCAACCTGCAGAGGACTTTTGTGATCTTTAGGTGCCATTGAATACGAAACAATTGGAAAATAACGGGGTCAATAAAATCATCTAAAAAAAACTATGGGCTATAGCTGATGGTTTTTACCAAAATTTGCCAATTTTTAACTTGGTCGTTTTTCACAGATTCGGCCACATGGGTTTAGTTGAGTATCACCCGATTTATCGTTATTTAAGCTTAAAATTAGGCTTTAAGTGGCATTTATTAACCTACAGAAGACTCTTGTGATCTGTAGGTGTCATGTAATACGAAACAACTGCAAAATAGCAGGGTCAAGAAAATAGTCCAAAAAAAAGTATGAGCTATATATAGCTCATGGTTTTTACCCAAAATTGGCCAATTTTTAACCTGGTCGTTTTTCCCAGATTCGGCCACATAGGCCTAATTGTGCATCATCCGATTCATCGTTATTTAAGCTTAAAGCTAGGCTTTAAGTGGCATTTTATCAACCTGCAGAGGACTCTTGTGATCTGTAGGTGTCATTGAATACGAAACAATTGGAAAATGGCGGGGTCAAGAAAATCGTCCAAAAAAAAGTATGAGCTATAGCTCATGGTTTTTACCCAAAATTTGCCAATTTTTAACCTGGTCGTTTTTCCCAGATTCGGCCACATGGGCCTAATTGTGCATCATCCGATTCAACGTTATTTGAGCTTAAAGCTAGGCTTTAAGTGGCATTTTATCAACCTGCAGAGGACTTTTGTGATCTTTAGGTGCCATTGAATACGAAACAATTGGAAAATGGCGGGGTCAATAAAATCATCTAAAAAAAACTATGGGCTATAGCTGATGGTTTTAACCAAAATTTGCCAATTTTTAACCTGGTCGTTTTTCACAGATTCGGCCACATGGGTTTAGTTGAGTATCACCCGATTTATCGTTATTTAAGCTTAAAATTAGGCTTTAAGTGGCATTTATTAACCTACAGAAGACTCTTGTGATCTGTAGGTGTCATGTAATACGAAACAACTGCAAAATAGCGGGGTCAAGAAAATAGTCCAAAAAAAAGTATGAGCTATAGCTCATGGTTTTTACCCAAAATTGGCCAATTTTTAACCTGGTCGTTTTTCCCAGATTCGGCCACATGGGCCTAATTGTGCATCATCCGATTCATCGTTATTTAAGCTTAAAGCTAGGCTTTAAGTGGCATTTTATCAACCTGCAGAGGACTTTTGTGATCTTTAGGTGCCATTGAATACGAAACAATTGGAAAATGGCGGGGTCAATAAAATCATCTAAAAAAACTATGGGCTATAGCTCATGGTTTTTACCCAAAATTGGCCAATTTTTAACCTGGTCGTTTTTCCCAGATTCGGCCACATGGGCCTAATTGTGCATCATCCGATTCATCGTTATTTAAGCTTAAAGCTAGGCTTTAAGTGGCATTTTATCAACCTGCAGAGGACTCTTGTGATCTGTAAGTGTCATTGAATACGAAACAACTGCAAAATAGCGGGGTCAAGAAAATCGTCCAAAAAAAAGTATGAGCTATAGCTCATGGTTTTTACCCAAAATTGGCCAATTTTTAACCTGGTCGTTTTCCCAGATTCGGCCACATGGGCTTAGTTGAGTATCACCCGATTTATCGTTATTTAAGCTTAAAAATAGGCTTTAAGTGGCATTTATCAACCTGCAGAGGACTCTTGTGATCTGTAGGTGTCATGTAATACGAAACAACTGCAAAATAGCGGGGTCAAGAAAATCCTCCAAAAAAAGTATGAGCTATAGCTCATGGTTTTTACCCAAAATTGGCAAATTTTTAACCTGGTCGTTTTTCCCAGATTCGGCCACATGGGCCTAATTGTGCATCATCCGATTCATCGTTATTTAAGCTTAAAGCTAGGCTTTAAGTGGCATTTTATCAACCTGCAGAGGACTCTTGTGATCTGTAGGTGTCATTGAATACGAAACAATTGGAAAATGGCGGGGTCAATAAAATCATCTAAAAAAAAATATGGGCTATAGCTCATGGTTTTTACCAAAATTGGCCAATTTTTAACCTGGTCGTTTTTCCCAGATTCGGCCACATGGTCTTATTTGAGTATCATCTGATTCATCGTTATTTCAGCTTAAAACTAGGCTTTAAGTGGCATTTATCAACCTGCAGAGGACACTTGTGATCTGTTGGTGTCATGTAATACGAAACAACTGCAAAATAGCGGGGTCAAGAAAATCGTCCAAAAAAAAATATGAGCTATAGCTCATGGTTTTTACCCAAAATTGGCCAATTTTTAACCTGGTCGTTTTTCCCAGATTCGGCCACATGGGCCTAATTGTGCATTATCCGATTCATCGTTATTTAAGCTTAAAGCTAGGCTTTAAGTGGCATTTTATCAACCTGCAGAGGACTCTAGTGATCTGTAGGTGTCATTGAATACAAAACAATTGGAAAATGGCGGGATAAAAAAAAAATAATCCAAAAAAAAAAACAAAACCAAAAACTGTGGGCTATAGCTCATGATTTTTACAAAAATTGCCAATTTTTAACCTGGTCGTTTTTCCTGGATTCGGCCACATGGGCCTAATTGAGTATCATCCGATTTATCGTTATTTAAGCTTAAAACTAGGCTTTAAGTGGCATTTATCAACCTGCAGAGGACTCTTGTTATCTGTAGGTGTCATTGAATACGAAACAACTGGAAAATGGCGGGGTAAAAAAAATCGTAAAAAAAAAAAAAAAAAATCGGACTTCGAACAATATTCATTTATAATAATTATTTTGAATATTTAATAAGAACATAAAATATTTATTAACATTTATTTTGAATATTTAAGTTTTTCTTTACTTTGACACCATACTATGCGTAATATTGTAATTTCCATCTGAAAATAATAAAATAATAAATAATGTACTTCACACACTTTTAAAGACTAATGAAAATATACTCTACATGTTGTACAAACTAGATTAAACTAATACTTAACATCCAAAAGTAGATATGACTTTATACGTACGAGTGATAACTGTATAGAAAAAATATGAAGATTAAAAAAAAACAAAAATCCATTTTATAAATGAATACTATTATAACTCCTTGTTTTGAGCTAAATAAAGACAAAGAGTATGAGGACCTCCACTGAACTGACAGTTTTACAGTAGGAAATTGTGTCTTGGCCAAAGGTGGGGCATCCGCTAGCCACATGCGGTCTAACAGCAATTTTATTGTTGCCCGCGAAACTAAATTAAAATCCCTACAATAATTTTCCTTACAAACTCTTAAAGCGTTAATAAAGAAGTGTACGAAGGTTTTTGCAACAACTTGAAAACATCAATTTTTTTCGCTTTCAGGCCCTCAGTGTTGAATGAAAAATTCAGTTTGGTAAGAGGAGGTACAGGCTCATATCCCTCAGATTTTAAGCTATAAAACTATGTTAAAATAACGAACAGACACTCTCTCAGATTTTAAGCTTTGAAACTATTGTATGACCAAGAAAGCAAGCAATTTGACAGTGACATAATCCAACATGCTGTACCAGTTTTAAGAAGAAAAATAATGTAAGAAGTAGTGTCACAATATTTACCCACCTGAAATAAACAATGTCGACAAGTGGAGAAATAATGTATTATGCAGTAATTGCGATTCTGCACAACTATTTTTTTAGAAATACTCTGCGTAAATTTGAGCTAGTTTTTGAGGTATCATCTGTGCAATTAAAATACATATAATTTTTGTTCTCCCCAACAAATTGTTTTTTTTTCCCTCAACGGGGACTCTTCTACATAAACGGCCCCCTGCTGAGGCCATTCCTCCTAATATACCCACATCATTTGTTTACTTTATCCACAGGTAATTATATAGTATACTGATTTCTAAACAAATTTGTAAACCTTAAAGTTAGTGAATGATACTCCTCTGAGTGTGTTTGTGGCAACAGCTAAAATTGATAAGTTTTGATGCTGCCACACTACAATGTTGCACTCGGAGTACTATACTGATTTAGTGGGAGTGAGTTTAATTCATCTACTAAATTGATAAGATCGCCGTCTAAGCGTAGCTGTAACCAATTCATCGTCGTCACTCTCATTGTCACTATCGTGTAGAGTGTCTTCATATGCGTTTTCTTTTCTGAGTGATTTGTTTGGTGTTTTTCCTGTCATAAAGAAATAAATTGGTTTTCATTAATTAAAATTAATTGCCTATAATAACAAAAAAAAAACAAATATGAATGTTGTGGATTCAGAGAGCCACTATCAAAACTTTATTCACTAATATTTAAAAATATGTTTATATTGGCTGATCCATGTTTTCACTGCTGATTGTATATTATATACGTCGATTGGCCGAGTGGTTAAGGCAGGGGCACCGTAACCTACAACCAAAATATTGGCGCTGGTCGAACGGCACGCTCGTCTATCATGGTTCTGATGGTAGAACAAGCCTTCTTGGATAAGGACTATAAACCGTAGGCCCAGTGTACTCAATAGAGTCATGTGCACAATAAAGAACCCAGTACATCATTCAAGAGTAGGGAGATACCCTGGTGTAATGGTACAGACAACACCTTGTGGTAGACGACGAGAGTTGCTGGTACCGGTTACTGGGTAGCACAGAAACAAAGGGAACCTTAGGGGTGAAGCAAGTCATTGATCGAGCTAGTCCACATATCAAGTGTCATAAGCATCTTATCATGGATATACAGTACAAATCTACATTATTATTACTATTATTACAGGTATCAATAAATAAATCCATTTTCACTTTTTAATTATGAATTTGAAATGTCGAGACAATATCTATAAAACTCTTTGTGACATTTTGAATTCAAACCATAAAAACACCTGAGCAGTGACAAATACACCCTAAAATTACTTAATCAGCCAATGCAGTATTTTTTTAAATATTTTACTGATTATCAACCCAGACAAAAATTAAATCATGAAATACTGGTATAATATTACCGTACCATTGTTTGGTGTCTTGCTTGTCACCAAGATATCACTCTCATCAGAGTCTTCCAGATATTCACAAGCAATTTGTTTCTTTGCTAAAAGGTTTAAAATGAAATGTATATCATTACTGAATAAAGTTTGAAGTTCAGAGTGAAAAACACACTTGCAGCTAATTTATGATAACACGTGGGGACACATTATTACATGACCTATAACTTTACCAACTGCGTGCACATTAAATTGATCAAGTGCTTTGAAATATTAAAATGCAATGACGTGAATATAATGGAAATCAATGTGCTATGCATTTCCAGAGTTTGAGACATCGTGAGAATACAGCAAATGTCACAAGTCTCCCGAAACTTGCAGGAGATTCCTGGAAATCTGAAATGTCACCCGAATTTTTGCATGCTTTTACTATTTGGTTATCAATTGTCTCATGGAGGTATATGCCGATGGGTATCATTAAAATGTGTAAAATTCAGAAGCAGATCCAGAATTTTTCAAACAAGGGGGGGGGGGACAACATATTCAGAATAGATAAGTGAGAGTGCTAATTTCAATATATGCCTTAAAATTTTTTAATTTAATGGCAAAACAGGAGGAACATGATTATGAATGTGGATCACTGGGGAGGGGGATGTTCCCCCACATACTTTTAAGAGTGGTTGGCACCCACTTTGTTTACACTGGTTAAGACAAAGTTCTAGATGCAAGCAGAAATTGTGTACAAAATGAATGGTAGCCCACCTAGTACTGTAGCTGTTGAGTTGCTTCTGTCTTCCCCAATGCCCTGTCGCTGCTATCGTTGTGGCAACATCCTCCTCATCATCACTGTCGCAGTCTTTATATCTGTTTACCAGACTTGTGATAGATAGATTGACATATCATTATTATTGTCATTTCTATTATTAATTAGTATGCGTTGCAGTAGAAACCATTAATTTTAACAAAATCTATTACATGTATAACTTCCGATCGAATTCATTAATAAATTAACACAAGCTAACAATTAAAAAAGAGAGGAATTCTAAATATCACAAAACCTGCACAAACACTTAAAAAAAAAAAAAAAATAGAAAAAATGTTAATTACAGTGCATTGACAAAATTTCTGATGATAACATAATTAATTTTTGACAAAATTAATAAAAGTAATAATGCCAATTAAAAGAAATAAATAAGTATTGATTAAAGCACTATATAAAATGTTTATCTTGCTTACGCACAACATGAATGTTTAATATTATTAAGAAACAAATACAGACTTAACACAAACAAAATAATTTAACATCTAAAAGAAATAAATACAAATAAGTATAGCCATTCAAAGGTCATGTGCGTGCATTCAGAGAAATACAATATTCAAATGTACAAATTGTTTTTGAAATGATAACTGTCACAATGTAGTTACATTTCATAAATAAAACCAATGAAACATGAAATTTATCGTTAGCCAAAAAAAGTTTTACCAACTTGATTAAAAAAATTTTACCTTCATTAATTCTCAATGTCACATATACATGGTTTTTAATTTCATAAAATATCCAAAATCAGAAATGTTAAATATTAGGATTTTTTTGTTGGTCACAACAATTGATTCTTTTTATATCAGGATTTGTGTTTGACAATGATGTGTATTCATGCATTCATAACCTTGGCTATTGAATTCCTAACAATAAAATAGGGCTGTGCTGTACTCTAAATTTTATAGTGCATGAACGTCATTTGGTGACGTGTCAAGAGAGTTCCTTCCAGGTACTTTAAATCATTTATTTTCAGACTATGCATTGACATTCTTAAATTAATAATAATAAAAAATGATTTATGCTAACTGACTGTATTTATACAGTAGTTCAGGGCCATAAATTCTGTAAAACTAGATGTCTGTGTATCACAGGAAAACATTTATGTAGGCTCAGGAATGGTGTAGGCTTATATCAGAGGTACTACAGTACCTATACCAGGGCTCCCAAGTTGGGAGAAGTCATTTCTGGGAGATCTGCAGTGGCAGCTCAAAGGGTGGGG